TGCGCAAAGGCCGACAAGCGTAGGGCGAGGACCCGTCCATCGCCGCTTGCGGCTTTAATTGAATTAGTTTTTCCCACAAAGCCAAGCGTTCATGTAAATGTCCGTCTTTTAATTTGCAAAATTACTGCGAAATTAGAGCTGATCAGAGAGCAGTTTAAAAACATAATGAATCTCAGTAGGTGTTCAGCGTCGGCCCGCGGCGCCTGACAGTTTTTACATTTCTGTCAGCGCAAGAAATATCGAGCTTTATTGCCCGACGCAGGCGCAACAATAAACAATCCAAATTCCTTAATTGTTATTCTCTCGGTTACTTAAACGGGTATAAAACGTGGGACCGTGATGGCCGCCCTCCCCCCGGCAGCTCCATCCTCACTTACAGAATTAGTGCTGAGGAAGCTAGTTTGACGCGCCGAACAATACATATTTATACCTGATGAATATGTATGCGCGGCCGTGATGACATCCCGGTGACAGGCCATTGTGGCAATCTCAATATGGCTGCTATGGCTAAAGTCACCCTGGCCGCAAACGTGGCAAGCTGATTAGAATAAAGGAGGAGGCTCGCAACATGGGGTGTGTGTGTGTGTCTCACCTGCTGAAATATATAAAAGCACACACACACACACACACACACACACACACACACACACACACTCAGGCATCCGGGACACAGTAAAATTGATGTATCCTTTATGTAAAGTACTGTATGCAGAGTACAAACACACATGCATATGACTGAGATTAATCTTGAGCGCCGGAGGAAGCAGGAGGGAGGTGGAGGATGTAAATTGACAGTGCTGTAAAGTGACAGACCTGCTGCCGCTTTGCTTTTTTTCTTTTTTTTTCCTCCTCTTTTCTCTCACACACAAACACACAATAGCCTGCCGGTGACAACAAGCAATTTATTACTCGATGCTGCCCCTGTGTTGTGTGTGTGTGTGTGTGTGTGTCCTTGTGGACGTTTGTGCAGCCATCTAAGCTTGTTGTTGCCGTTTGCATGCACATGTGTGAGTGAGTGAGGAGGTTGTGCAGAAGGGAAACATGTTAAAGGAGAAAGTTTCTAATTCATTAGAAGGGCAGCTCCCCTCTGAGGCTTCTTTTTGCTCTCATGTTCAATTTGGAGATTGGACTTTGCTTTCAAAGGGGTGTAAAGGGACGAGACAGGTGGTTCAGAGCGCCGGGGTCTGCTGCCTGAAAACACCGATTGTATGCACGCCGTGTGTGTGTGTGTGTGTGTGTGCGTGCATTTGTGTGTGAAGCTGTCCACTTTGGCCACATCTATTATCTCAGCATCCCTCCCACTGGGACATCCCAGAAGCCCATTGATCATTGTTAGACCCTGTCATATGAACACACACACTCTCACACACACACACACTCTCACACACACACACACAAAAATATCAATCCATAGATTACATGCGCACAAACACAGACACATGATTTACATATAGACACTTAAACGCATACATACACATATGCATATGGGCACTTAGTTTTTACGAGCACTGTGACAAGATCAAATGGGTTCAACGCAGATTGCATCCAGTCCTCGGAGCACTTACATCCTCCAGTCAATGCGCCGGCACGGAGAATGAAAGAAACGGACCGAGCAGCTGACTGGAAGCTGAGGTTTTATGTCATCTGCAGTCTGTTAGCGTGAAAAAGGGACTTGAACAAAGCTGCAGCAGTGAGCGGATGTTTACGCTAAGATTCAATCACGAGTGGAAGTCTTGCTCTAAAAAAAAGAAGGAAGTTAGCATCTGATGTACTTAATATTCACGAGTAAAAGTACTAATTATCCACCAGCCTCTGCAGAGGTATATGGGTACATTTATAATATTATCTGTAAACATCTGTTTTAAAGCTGTTTTTACTCACTCTGGGCTCATTTTTCACTCAAACATGAAGTCCTGCACTTTAATTAAAACAGAATCATGGCTGGAAGAACTCAGAAGTGTCAAATGTGCAGTACGACACAGTTAGAATGACAGAAATCATTTAAAATATGGACACCGGAGGTTGATTTGATGTCATCATTTGTGTTTTGAAAATTTTAAAAACCTGGAATCAATCTGTAGAACTTTTTTTCAAGCCAATACTGGGAAAAAATGGGGACCTTAAATAACTTGTAATTTCTTTCTATGTATAAACAGCCTGCAGTTCAGCCAAATAGTTCCTGATTTATTTTTTTCTTCTCATGGTTCCTGCTGTTAAATGTGACTTAATGGTTGAGCAGAAAATTGCAAAAAAAAATTTGTTTTTTACAGAATCTGTTGAGTGCAAATGGTTCAGTTTTGGAACATTTTTAAACAAGACCCACTGAGTAAAGTGATTTTACTTAAATATTATGATTTTAAGCTGAGATTTTGCTTCTTTTTTCGTGAAGGAGCTGCACATCAGACGTGATACAACCGTCGAAAAGTTGAAGATCTGTTTGTTCTTTCTGCTGTTTCAGTTTCTACTTGATAAATTTAGTTGTTTTGGTAATTTCCTAGAAGATTACATGCTTTTAAGGATCACAAAGTTAATGTTGTGAGTTTAATATTGTACAGTAAACACATCATGTTATCTGAGTTTAACATCCTGCAAAGTACCGTCCTGTAGCTGTTAAACATCATCCTCAGTAAATGAAGCTGATGGTGAAGCTGTATTTCACCTTCCTGAGCAAAAAACAGGCAAATGGAAAAAACTATAGGAACAAATATAAATGCAGACAAATGCCACGAGCCAGTTATGGAGTTCAGGATTAATTCAGGATTAATGCTTTTATTTTCCTCCACCCAGTGACCCTTTTATTCTCCCTGTGCTGCTAAAATACTTAAAACTTTGTTGTGCAACGTAATCCCTAAGAGTTTCAGTAAAAAGAAAAAAAGTGGACTCTTGATTTTGATTCTGGAAGATGTTTCACCTTCGTCCAAACAGCTTCTCGACTCTCTTGTAACCTGCTTTGTCTCCTCCAGGTGCGCTGAGCGAAGACCCCCAGTTCCCAAAGATCCAGTGGCCTTCGCCGGAGATGTGCTCGGCCTGCCACATGGTGAAGGAGAACGGAGAACACAGGTGGAACCGGGAGCAGGTTCTCCCCTTCCTCCTGAGCCACTTCTCCTCTAGCAGCATCCTGACAGGTACAGCTTCATGCCACAGATCCTGCTCTGAAGGCCTCCAAAGTCAAAGGCTTTACAGAAGTTAAAAACTAGACTGAGCAAAGAATGTGTTCCTCCTCAGGCTGGATGTTCAGTGAAGCCTCTGACTCTAGGTTACAGGTTGTGATTTTAGAGCTAATGTTCCTGTTTCTGTGTTTTCCCGTCAGACTACCTTGAGACTGAAAGCCAGGTTCTGGACAAACAGAGGAAGAAACAGGCCAGTCAGCAGCTGGCTGTAGCGGCTCAGAGACCCGTGGAGAGGAGAGCAAGGGAGGCCGTCGACTCCACAAGTCCTCCTCCTTCACCTCCGCCCACGGCGCAGGAGGAGGAGGACGAGGAGGAGGACGAGGGGCCGCAGGACGAAGCAGCGCCTGATGAGGAGGACGGCGGGGAGGCCAAGCCCGAGCCGACCCCCTGGTCCAAACCGGAGGCGGGCCGCGGCCGGCGGCAGGTCCACAGGAAGCCGAGCATCGTGGGGATGAGGATGCGGGAGCAGCAGGAGGACATCGTGGACCTGGACTCGTTCGTCAACCAGCACTACCGGGCCAAGGCGCTGCGCCTGGCCGCCTCCAGCCGGGTCAAGCAGCGCAGCCTGCAGCGGCAGCAGGAGCAGGAGCCCGGGCCGGCCTTCGAGCTCGGCATGGAGCTGGACGGCGGCCTCGGGATGGTCGGGCTGCAGCCGCTGGAGGCCGACCTGGAGCTGGACGTGGGCCGGCAGAGGAAGCGGCTGCAGAAGCGAGAACTGTCGGCCCGGTACTTGGACGGGGAGGCCGAGCTGAGCCACAGAGGACGCTGGATGTCTGTGCTGAGCATCGGCTTCTCCAAGCTGGACATCAGCCTGTGTGTCATCCTGTACTTCATGTCCTCCATGTGTCTCCTGGCCATGTACCTGTTCTTCAAGAACCGGCTCAGGCTGCGGCGCACCAAAGTGGCTCTGCCCTGAAGCCACACCAGCAGAAATGTGGCTCAAACCGGAGCGACTTTTTATTTGCTTCTGTAAAGGGATGACGGCTAGCCGGTACCTGCAGCCACGTTCTAGCCGGAGAGCGTTGGTGTGACCGGAGGAGAAGGGAAAATTAGCAGATTTCTTTTAAAATCCTTTAAAATCGAGGCAGTTTGTTTTAACCTCCGGCCTCCAGAGCTTTGCAGGCGGCGCCTCAACTGTGGAAAATCTGTTCATATCGATGTATGTTTTGGGGTTCGTGCCTCGATTTAAACTAATCAGTTCTGATTTTATTTGACCACTTATGAAGGATTAAACAATGCGAAGGGTTTCTTTAATTTTTTAGGAATTTGATGCAACTAATGTGTGATTTTATTTGTTTCTTACGGTTGTTTTTCTGTTTTTATCCTCCCGTTGTAGCGAGCAGACTCTGCCGCGTGTGAGCAAGAGAGTTTTAATTTCCTTTAGTTTTTATATATTTAGAGTTTGTCGATCATTTGAACCAAACACGTGATTCTGTTGCGTCTCAAACTACAGACGAGCCGTTCCCGTCTCTTCTAAAGTCTCTCGTCTCCACACATCAGATGGTGAAGAAGCAGGCCGACGGTTGCAGCATATTGTTGACGGGAGCAGCGGGTCTTTTCACCGGCTGAGTTAATAAGTCGGTCTGCTTCACGCTGAGCGTTACATAATGTCTGTGAATATTACATCACGCTGCTGAGTCCACACAACAGCTACTCAGGCTGCAGATGAGGTATTGTGTTCACACTGGACGAGGTTTTAGAATAAGCAGGATTTGTTTTCTGGCTCGCATCCACGTCGAGGAGCTTCTGCTGGTCGTCTCAAAAACACTGTTGTTCTGTTTGGAATCAATAAAATTATTTTTGATAAGGATTTTCTTTTGCCTCTTTAATGTTCATCAGATCAGTCGGTTGAGCCGCATTCAGCATGTTTTTAATCATCAAACCAGTGAATTTAAACAGTAACATGTGGATTCATCAGGTCGTTTATTTACTTTAGGCTGCGAAATGTGATCAGATTGAGAAAACAGATGATGGATTATGAATTAAAATTAAAGTAATTATACAAGAATTCTCTCATTTACCAAAGAAATTTATGTGAAGTTACAGAACTGATTTTCCTTTTTCTGTTAATTGTCAAGAACTATATTTAATTTTAGAAATATATTTGTAGGAACAGTTTACAGTATTTAATATAAGCACTGATTTGGAATAATCCAATCTGTGAGTGGAAACTTTTTGCATTTTCAGCCACATTAAACCAGTTTTTAATCATGAAACCAGTCAATTCAAACAGTAGGATGACATAAAAATGTAGATTTTCTTCTAATTCTTTGAGTAATTCACTTATTTTAGGTTTCAAAATGTGATTTATTTGTAATTTTGCTGTGAAAACGTCTGTAATTATACAAAAAAATGTGTTGTTTAACAACAAAATCAATGTAAAGTCACAGAACTGATGCTTCTTTTGGTGTTAATTGTCAAGAACTATAATTATAGAAATAAATATATATTTGGAAATATATTAATAGTTTTAGCCACTAAATAAAAAGGAAATATTTGTAAAATGTGCTCATAAAAAACTGTAGACAGATGGAAAGGAAGGTAATAAATACACTATTCTAAAAATGTGATTTGTGACTCAATAAGAAGGATTTTGTTTCCTCTTTAATATTCGTACCAATCAGTGGAAACTTAAATTTGTGCATTTTAAACCACATTAAACTGTTTTTTAATTATAAAATCAGTCACTTTAAGCAGTACAGGATTACATAAAATGTAGACTGTCTTCTAATTTCTTGGGTAGTTTACTTATTTTTGGCTGCAAAATGTGACTAGTTTGTATTTTTTGCTGTGAAAACTTCTGTAATTGTGCAAGAAATGTCTCATTTAACAAAGAAATGTATGTAAAGTTTAGGAACTGATGCTTCTTCTTCTGTTAACCGTCACTATCTGGGTAGTTTTAGAAAAATATTCACAGCAACAGTTTAATTTACTAAATAAAAAGGAAATATTTGTAAAATTTGCTACTAAAAATAATAGACAGATGGAAAGGAAGGTGAGAAATACACTATTTTTAAAAAAAAAAAGAAAAAGATTTAGGATCCAATAACAAGGATTATTTTTGCTTCTTTAATTTTCTGATCCATCACTAAAAACTTACATTTTGTATTTCGGGTCACATTAAACCTGTTTTTGTCCTAAAACTGTTAAATTTAAACAGTCGGGTTGAATTTAAACACCATCTGCGTCGCCTCAGACGTCAAAATATGTTTACTGGACGGCAGAACAACAAGCTCCTGTTTTTCTGTTTTGACCAAGACTGCCGGGACACGAGGGCAAGAAGGCGGAGAAGGCTGCTGCCTGCAGGACCGGGAGGAGGAGGAAGGGGGCTAAACCACGCAAGGTTGAAGGAAAAAGCCTGTTGCCATCTGCTGTGCAGCGCAAGCTAAATCCTAACAATTTCATTGGGATTATAGCAAGTGAGTAATCCAGCTTTCCTTTAGGACTAGAGAGGAGAGATTACCCGTGAGGATTAGCTCCCCGCAGATAATAAACTTTATTAAAACGCAATCGGCTTTCATGGGGCTTCTTCTTCTTCTTCTTCTTCTTCTTCTTCTTCTTTCGTCCTTGCACACACTTGGAGGTGGCGGGGGGCAGCGCTGGACCCTCGGGGATGAAAGACGGATAAACGCTGGACGGTTTGATGTCCAGATTACAACATCTGAAGGACGACTGATGCTTGATCTTGAGCTTTTTCCTGGAACACTGGTTTGAATTCCCTCGACTCCAAACCTCCGTCCGCTGACCCGCACTGATCTCATCCCAAAAACACGCCCTTCAGCCGAGGTTTGGACGGCGGAGCAGCTGAGTTAAGCTCAATCACACCCTCAGAGTGTTTAAATTAGATCCTCAGTGACACGTTATGATGTCCAGAAAAGCTTCAGCCACAAAATCAGGCTTCTTCTGCTCATTTAGTCCCTGTTTTTTATCCAATATTAGCATCTGACAAACTTTAAACATCAGTTTTTAGAGGACAAATCAAACATCCAGCTTTGCTACCATTCAACTTTTGTCTTCTGACTTAAGACCTTTTCCTGCCACACGTGTGATCTGTAAATCCCTTTAAATGTTCACCTGTGCTGGTGATAGGATTGGAGTCAGTTACTCCACTGAGGCCCTTCGTCGAGCCTCCAGGACTGCTGCTCCGGTTCGGACTAACGATGGTTAATGAGGAAGTTGGCAGCGGCCAGACATCAGTCTGCAGCTCTGCCAAGGCCGAGGTGAGCGGTTCACAGCGAGGACAGAGGCTTCAGGTCTGAATCAGGGTGCATTCAGACACGTTTGTGCTCTTTTCAGGTCTGGATTCGGAAGCAAAAACTGGATTACTGAGTGTAAACACACAAAGAAGTAACTCTGTAGTCTGAGATCAGATGCAGTTTAGAAGAACTCAGTGAGGACTCGTCAATGAAACTAAAGATTTTCAGACAGATTGGTGACAAACTGAAGGAAACATCAGCATAAAGTTGGTCATGTTGGGCAGTAAAGTGAGAAAAATGAGTCACAAACCAATAATCACCAAACAGCCACAATAAAGTGAAGATATCTGTTAATACCTCAGTGGTGGAACAAAGTTTTCAGCTTCATTTATTTCAGTAAAAAAAATGCCAATAAAGCAAAGAAAAAATATTTAATTACAAGTAAAAGTCCTGCAAATAAAGATATTAGCGGTAAAATGGTTTTGGTCCATCCCATCCATTATCTCTACACCTTAATCCTCACCAGGGTCATGGGGGGCTGGAGTCTATCCCAGCTGACTCAGGGTGAAGGCAGGTTCACCTGGACAGGTAACCAGTCTATCACAGGGCTACACTTAGAGACAGACAACCAAGCACACTCACATTCACACCTACGGACAATTTACAATCACCAATTAACCTCAGCATGTTTCTGGACTGTGGGAGGAAGCCGGAGAACCCGGAGAGAACCCACGCTGCACGGGGAGAACATGGAGACTCCACGCAGAAAGATCCCGGGTGTCCTCACCGGGACGTGAACCGGTGACCTTCTGGCTGCGAGGTGCTAACAGTGCTAACCACCGAGACACCTTCACTTAAGTTTAAGTTTGTAGCCTTAAAGTTTCGCTTTACATTCAAGCTTCCATCAGGCGTCTGTTGGTTCCTGCATCTGAGGTCAAAAGCAAACTTTCAGCTTTTAAAAGAAGCCTCTGGCTGAACTCCATGTAGCTGCAGGAGCAGCTAATAAATGGGCCTTAAGGTGAGTTTGTGGTCTCGTAGCTCATCTCGGCCTTCGTAGCGACTCAGAACACTTTGCAGGTTATCAGTCTTCCAGCTTCGATACGAGCCTCTGCAGGAGTTACTTTCCTCCAAACTTTTTTTTGCGTTTGTTTGTCCAGAACTAATGTGGAGGTGCAGTCGTGTTGTGGAAGCACTGAGTGAAGGGTAAAAACCTCACCTTGCTGCCCCGCTGTTGTCTTCCATAAATTAGACAATGCAGGGTTTTATAGTCACTCCTCTCCTGTATGCTCTCTGCCTCGGTGTTTATTACCCCTCCGGTATTGATATTAAAATGCAGGAGGGGCCTGATGCATTTTTCTGTCATCTCTCTTTCTGACTTTAATAATACTATAAAGCTTCCTGCTGTGGACGGAGCGGGAGGCAGGGAGGGAGGGAGGGAGGCAGGGGGTGAATAAATTATGAAAAAGAGGTTAATATATGGTATTGGTATATATCACATCCAAACTAAGCCAGATCCCCTTTCGGGTTTTAAACATGCTGCCTTTTAAAGGCAGGAGTCAAGCAGGGTCAGATCCATCTCATTTTACTGCTGCAGGCCCTCCCCCTCCTCATCTGCTCACATCCAAACATCTCCACATTCAGCTCCGACCGGCAGATGACACTTTACAGCTCAAACAGTCGGCCGGCTGAATGAAGCCGTGAGCTGCACACTGATGCTCTGGTCGGAGCTACAACGTCCAGCGTTTGTGTGTTTGGCTGCTTCCATGTGTGCAGGTCCAACCCCGCACGACTTTATGACTGAGTTTACTTTTTAAGCAGCCGGAAGTCCTTGTAGTTCAATAACAAAGAAAAGTTCTGCCTCAGACTTCCTGTAAGCGTCTAAAGTAAGATCTGAAAACTCCTATCGTACACATAAATATGATTCAACCATTTCTTTACCACTACTGAGGAGTGTTTGGGCTCATTGTCTTATTAAAACACCCAAATGTGTCCAAGATCCAACCTTCACCAGAGCATGATGCTGCCACCTCCGTGCTGGATGGTAGGTTTGATGTTCTTGAGGTTAAAGGCCTCAACTTCTGCTCAGTGTTTGTTCCATCTGACCACAGAACTTTCCTCCAGAAGGCATTTTCTTTGTGACCAGACTTCAGTGGAGCTTTAAGGTTCTGCTTCTGGAGGAAGAACTTCCTCCTTCATCAGCCTCTCAGCTCATGTTGATGTCAGACCCTGTGGACACTGACAGCTGTGTTCCAGCAGCTTCTGGTCCATCCAGAGCTGCTTCCTGCTGCTTCCTGGTTGACTCTGGACCATCCTGACCTCAGCAGCAGGTGATGGTTTGTTTTCTTCCTGATGGTGGCAGTAACACAACTGGACTTTATGCTGACAAACAGATGGTTCTGGGATCTGAAGCTGCTCTGAAATGGCTCCAAGTGACTTTCCTGATTTGCTTTTCCAGATCTTTGCTGAGCTCCATCAGACTTTCCCACTGAGTCTGATTCTAATGAGTGGATCTAACGGGTTCTATTTGAACTGGCTCAGACGAGTCATCAGCTGTAGTCAATCGTAATCACTCACAAGAACCGAAGAGGCTACGAAACTAAAAGAAAATTTGATG